ACTTGTTCAGCTGCTCAGAGAACAGGCTACTCTGGCGAATGGTGCTCGTTGGAGCTAACAGAACCGAATATAATAGCATAGTATAATGTTACTGTAAGACAAACAATTTTGGGGGGGATTATTGAGCGAATGGTCGCATTTTTCTCTCATACGGCCAAAACTCTATGGTGCGCGCAACTAGGCAAAACATGTGCTTTGATTCAAACAAAACACAGGTATGCTACAGTTTGTTAACACCATCTGCTCTAAAATTCGCTCACTAATCAAAATTCGCTAGCTAATCAAAACACTGTAGGCTACTTCGAAACAACACTATAGCCTACATAACTCAAGAACATCTAAATGCATAACCCCATGAAACTGATTGAGATCAAATGGTTGGCATGCAGATGCTGCATGGATGTTTCACCGGTAAAATTTGAAGAATTATTGTAGATTGACGCTTATTGGAATGAGTCTTGTCCTTGAGGCAGAACTGAGCAATTTCCACTAGATGGGCCAGCTGCAAAGTTAGAATTGGCTATATTGTAAAAATGCATAAAAAAAAGAAGCTTTTTGGTCTTAATTTAAGGTTAGTGTTAGGCATTAGGGTTAGCAGTGTGATTAGGGTTAGGTTTAAAATCAGATTTTATGACTTTGTGGCTGTGCCAGCTAGTGACCACTCTGCAGAGTTGCCTCCAAAAACGCTAACCTGCAGAATGATCATTCACGATTGACAGTGAGAAATGTGAAGGGAGGGTGAAGTAGATGTAAAGAAACATGCACAGAACGTGATTTGAATCTTCAGCTCTGGGGAAAAGGGATACAGAGGAACGGGACGGGGCGGTTACCTCCGGTTCCGCAAGGCCCCAGTTTTAGGGACATCTAAGGAGTGCAGAGTTTTTCCTGTTCAGTGTCACATAGTCATGAAAAACTGTTGGTCATGGAACATGGATGGTGTTCTATGCTATTCTAAACTCTTGGTCATGGAACATGGATGGCGTTCTATGCTATTCTAAACACTTGGTCATGGAACATGGATGGCGTTCTATGCTATTCTAAACTATTGGTCATGGAACATGGATGGTGTTCTATGCTATTCTAAACTATTGGTCATGGAACATGGATGGCGTTCTATGCTATTCTATTTCGGAGCAGGACAGGAGTCTGCCACACCTTGTTGGGAGGAATCCTGAGGACTTCTATATTATCCTAATCTTCTGGTTTCCATGATAACTGTAGTCTGTCCACGCAGACAGGCAGACAGACAGAGAGAGAGAGAGAGAGAGAGAGAGAGAGAGAGAGAGAGAGAGAGATGAAGTCACGATACGAGGAGGAGATAAAGAGAAATGATGGAATGGGAACAGACAGATGAAATCATTACTACAGTTCTCTGGTGCTGCTGTAATTTCTAACGTTGCTGTGGCGGTCTCATTTACAAACACACTGCCACACACACTCAGGCCTTCTCCAATACCAATTAACAACGCAGACCAAGGGAGCGAGGGAAGAAAGGCCGGGGCGAAAAGTGAGAAGAAAGAAAGAGACAGGCTGCATGCGAGAGAGATACAGAAATAAATATTTTGAAAAGAGATAGGGGGAACGTAGAGATGAGAAGAGAGGGAGGCTTAGATGAGAGGTGATGAAGATAAATGTTTGACGCTCACCATATTCATGAACACGTTGGTTGTCATCTCCTCGTTCTTCTCCTTCTGCCCAGAGACATAGAGACATTAGACTGGGGGTAGTCTCATTCTGCCCAGATACATAGAGACATTGACTGGGGGTGAGTCTCATTCTGACCAGAGACATTGGACTGGGGGTGAGTCTCATTCTGCCCAGAGACATTAGACTGGGGGTAGGTCTCATTCTGCCCAGAGCGATAGACATTAGACTGGGGGTGAGTCTCATTCTGCCCAGAGACATAGAAACATTAGACTGGGGGTGAGTCTCATTCCGCCCAGAGACATAGAGACATTAGACTGGGGGTGAGTCTCCTTCTGCCCAGAGACATAGAGACATTCGACTGGGGGTGAGTCTCATTCTGCCCAGAGACATAGAGACATTAGACTGGGGGTGAGTCTCATTCTGCCCAGAGACATTAGACTGGGGGTGAGTCTCATTCTGCCCAGAGACATAGAGACATTAGACTGGGGGTGAGTCTCATTCTGCCCAGAGACATTAGACTGGGGGTGAGTCTCATTCTGCCCAGAGACATAGAGACATTAGACTGGGGGTGAGTCTCATTCTGCCCAGAGACATAGAGACATTAGATTGGGGGTGATTCTCATTCTACCAAGAGACATAGAGACATTAGACTGGAGGGCTCATTCTGCCCAGAGAAATAGACATTAGACTGGGTGAGTCTCATTCTGCCCAGAGACATTAGACTGGGGGTAGGTCTCATTCTGCCCAGAGCGATAGACATTAGACTGGGGGTGAGTCTCATTCTGCCCAGAGACATAGAGACATTAGACTGGGGGTGAGTCTCATTCAGCCCAGAGACATAGAGACATTATACTGGGGGTGAGTCTCATTCTGCCCAGAGACATTTACATTTACATTTACGTCATTTAGCAGACGCTCTTATCCAGAGCGACTTACAGTTAGTGCATACATTATTATTTTTAATTTTCATACCCCATGGGAAACAAACCCACAACCCTGGCGTTGCAAACGCCATGCTCTACCAACTGAGCTACCTCCCTGCCGGCCATTCCCTCCCCTACCCTGGACGACGCTGGGCCAATTGTGCGCCGCCCCATTGGTCTCCCGGTTGCGGCCGGCTACAGCAGAGCCTGGATTCGAACCAGGAACTCTAGTGGCACAGCTAGCACTGCGATGCAGTGCCTTAGACCACTGTGCCACTCGGGAGACATTAGACAGAGTGAGTCTCATTCTGCCCAGAGACATAGAGACATTGACTGGGGGTGAGTCTCATTCTGCCCATAGACTGGGGGTGAGTCTCATTCTGCCCAGAGACATTAGACTGGGGGTAGGTCTCATTCTGCCAGAGCGATAGACATTAGACTGGGAGTGATTCTCATTCTGCCCAGAGACATAGAGACATTAGACAGGGGGTGAGTCTCATTCTGCCCAGAGACATAGAGACATTAGACAGGGGGTGAGTCTCATTCTGCCCAGAGACATTAGACTGGGGGTATGTCTCATTCTGCCCAGAGCGATAGACATTAGTCTGGGGGTGAGTCTCATTCTGCCAAGAGAGATGGAGACAGACTGGGGGTGAGTCTCATTCTGCCCAGAGAGATGGACATTCAACTGGGGGTGAGTCTCATTCTGCCCAGAGAGATGGAGACGTTACTCTCTCCTCCTCTCCCCCTTCCTCCAACTCTCTCTCTCCCTCTCTCCCTTACTCCAACTCTCCCTCTCTCCTTCCAACTCTCTCTCCCCCTTCCTTCAACTCTCTATCCCTCTCTCCTCCAACTCTCCCTCTCTCTCCCTTACTCCTACCCTCTCCCCCTCTCCCCCTCACAACTCTCTCCCTCTCTCCAACTTCCTCTCCCTTACTCCAACTCTCTCTCCCTCTTACTCTCTCTCACTCTCTCTCCCCCCTTACTCCAACTCTCCCTCTCTCCCCCTTACTCCAACTCCCTCTCCCTTACTCCAACTCTCTCTCGCTCATTATTTCTTACTCGTTTGACCCTGCTCCTGTGGAGGTAAGATAGCGAGCCTGGTGGGGGTGTTGCCAGAGAACACAAACAGGTCATAAATCTGAAACAGGTTCAGACCTCTGAGTTGAGCGGACATAGCTGCCCTTCTGCCTGCACTACTCCCAATATAAACACAGTGGAGGGTGTGTGTGTGTGTGTGTCAGTCAGTTATTCGTCCACTGTCCCATAATGCCACTGTGTTGGACACCCTGAGTAAGTCCCAAACTACACCCTATTCCCTATGTAGGGCCAGGGCCCATAAGGCTCTGGCCAGAAGTAGTGCACTGTATAGGGTGCCATTTGGGACACATCCCTGTTGTTTCATCTGTGTATGTTGACAATGACACAGTTCACATTGTTTAGTCAGGTGGCATTGACCACAGAGGTGAATGAAGAACTGAAAACATACACAAATTGCCCATTGCAAGATACAAAGAAGACAGTTCTCATGTCCACTGCTGTCACTTGTGTATGCTGGGAGGGTGTCTCTCATGATTCTCATTCATATACTTTCTCTAAATAACAGAAAGTATCTAACATATAACCTAAACGTCTCACTGTCTTTATTTTAAAAGTGGAGGCCAGGCCAGTACAGACAGTAGTGTCCAGTCCAGTGGTCCCAGAGGACTGACCAGTGTCATTAACGGAACTAAGGTCCAGCAGTTGACGAGGCCTCTCTCTCTCTCTCTCTCTGTCTGTGTGTGTATGTGTGTGTGATTCTCCATTATTTCGCACGGCACGGGGATCACATTCTGACAACAGTTGGAGCCTTTGATTTGATTCTTCTCAGATCTTTATTTTAAAAAACTAACCAAAAGCACGACAAGCTCAACAGACAGGTGTGTGTGTGTGTGTATGGGAGATATGGAGATGGAAAGAGAGAGAGAGAGAGAAACAGAGAGTGAGTGACTGAGATAGGTGTGTGTGTGCGCCTGTGGTACAGAGTTCTACAGCAATGGGAATTCCACAGGCTGTTGGTATAGCTGGTGAATACTGTGTGTGTGTGTGTGTGTGTGTGTTTGTATGTGTGTTTGTATGTGCTATTCTACTCCTGAATACAATAATAGACTTCACACACACTAAAATACACAACGGATGACCAGAGGTACATACAGTATATATGGCAAACACACATTCTCACTCTGGTAAATTAAATGCATACACTTGGTATTTTATAGTATCTGGTTTTCACGGTCTTTATCCTCTCACCAAACATATAGCAATCAATAAATATATAGTAGTAAATCCAGGGCCCGTATTCAGAAAGCGTCTCACAGTAGAAGTGCTGATCTAGGATCAGTTTAGCCTTTTAGAACATAATGAATAAGATTCCAGCGACTGGGGGGGACCTGATCCTAGATCAGCACTCCTACACTGAGACACTTGATACATTCCGCCCCAGAACTACAGCAATGTCACACTTCAGCACAGCAGATCTAGAAAAAGAAACCCTTCCATGTACAGTATACAGTAGCTATGTCCAAGGCATCGCTGGTAAGAAAAGTGTAGAGTGGAGTAGACGATCTCGCTACGCATGTCTGTGTTTTGGTGGCTGGGGCAACTGTCAAGGCTTCTTGGGTTTCAGTGAGGTAAAGTTTGGGATCTTGTGTGTGTGTATGTATGCATGTGATCACGCATACGTGGAGTGTGTCCCCCACGTTAGGGGTACTTGAAGGGGTCGCTGGGGGTGTGGTTGAAGCTGGCGTCAGCGAAGATGCCCAGGGTTCCCACAGTAGTGAAGACCACAAAGATCCACAGGAACATGCGATCCACTACCATGGCTACGTACTGCCAGTCCTCCCTCAGCTGGAGGGGGAGGGAAGAGGGGGAGGGCGAGATGTGGGTGGAGAGGGAAAGAAAAGGGAAAGAAGAAAAACAAAGAAGAGACAAAGTAAAGGGATAGAGAAAGAAAATAGAAAAGGAATGAATAACAGGAATAGATAGATATCAGTGAAGGAGAAATAGACTGAGCTATAGGAAATGTACAGGCTAGAAGCTATAGATATCTAGACTTTCCCTCCATCCACTCAGCCCATTCCCAGACCCTATATAGATCTTCAATATTCTCCAGAAGATGGAGAAATTGTAGGGGAAACTAAAGACTTCAAATTAGAAAGCCCAACCCAGGCAGGTCCCACACACAGCACTCACAGCAGCAAAGTCCTTATCAGCCTGTAGTTGCTCAGCGATGTAGGTGATGGCCTCGATGGCAGTCTTGAGCTCCGGAGGCAGAGTGAGGTAGTGGCTGGGCCCGTCGATGAACTTCCTCAGGTCAGTACACATGCCCTCAGACTGGTACCTAGACATAAACAAGAGGCTGAGGCAAAAGATACTAATGTCCAATTCCGAATAAACTACTACCCCCGATTCCCTACATGCCTATGCCGTTTTGTGGCTCTGGGCCTGTATTCATAGCGTCTCCGTACTGATCTAGGACCAGTTTGCCTTTCTGATCCTAGATCAGCACCCCTACTCCGATACGCTTCATGAATACGGGCCCTGAAGGCAATGGTAGGAGTAGGCAAAATGGGGTACATTTCTGCCTCGCTACTGTATCAGGGATTGCAAGGTGGACCTATGACCATATTGCTAAAACTTCAATCTTCTTATCTTTTCATATCTACAGAACTGCATAGTGGGTACAGGGGTTGATTTGAGAGAAGGGAAGGGCAAGGAGAAGGAAGGGGTTAAAACTAGTCCAAATGTCATCACCCCACAGAGCAAGCAGGCAGAGATGTGCAGACAGGAACAAACTCCACATAGCTCATCACTAATTAAAAGCTGTGAAATACCAGCCTGCTAACGACAGTCTGCACTTCCTTCCCCTGTATGTTGAGAGAGAGAGAGCGAGAGAGAGAAACTCCCTCTCCTCTCATATTCTCCCTCTGCTCTTTAGCTAGACCTGAGCCTTTTTCTGCTGACAAAGCTGTTCTGAAGAAGTTGGGTTGCCATTTGTTATGATGGCTTGTCGTGGGTTATGGAAGGTTACTAGCTATAACGATGGGTCGACACAGCTTTACTGTGAGTTGCCTTGAGCAAAGAGAGCCCTGGTCAAAAGTAGTGCACTATCTTGTGAATAGGGTGCCATTTTAAACCCCTAATCCTGGACATATTGAGATTATTCTACTAATGGACCAGGTGTAGTCTCTTCTCTCAAGTGGCTGTATCCTAGCATCTGTTTTGTTCTGAAACAGCCCTCTCTGTTGCTGTAGCCCTTTGGAGACTGGAAGCTGTTAGTGTTGCAGTTCTCTGTAGCTACCACCAGGAGTCAGCATGGTGCTGTGTCTTCAGCCTGGCTATGGTGTGGTCCTAAAGCATCTCCCTGGCAAACAGGCAGGTCTTCTATCGTTCTCTGTATTCTCTCTGCTTGGTATTCCAGGCAAAGCCTGGCTTTACAATGCAGCGGTGCGTGTGTGTGTGTGTGTGTGTGTCTGTGTGTGTGTGTCTCCTGGGCCGGCGAGGCGAGCAAATCGCCACTGACCTCAGCAGCTCCTCTCGCTCTGTTTTCTCAGAGAGATTGATGCGGAGGCATGGTTCTGGGATGAGCTACCTGACTGAAGGGGAAAGACTCCTCTCTTCTCCTCCCTAGCTCTCCTCCTCCTCTTGGTCCCCCTCTCACAGCGTCACTTCATCAGGGAGATGTAGATGAGTAATCAGCGAGACTAATTAAACTAAAACCGGCCACCAACGGTGACAAGACACACACTAAAACCAATTAAGAAGGCCGGGGGGGGGGGGGGAGCGCAAGGGGTGTAGGGGGGCGTGGGCAGAGAGATATTGCTGCCTCATCGAATCGCTCTTAATAGTCACCTCCATCTCTGAATCGCAGAGTCCCCCCCACACATGCACACCAGGTCTAATGTGTCAGAGGAGATTTGCGCTGATCATCATTATTTTAGCAATGATTTTCTCACTCTCCCTCTCGGCCTCGAACTTCAATTCCCTGTGAGTCGATTTAGAGAGGCGGGAGACCGTGCCTGTGGTTAATAAACCTGTAGACGCCTGCCTGGTTTTCTATGTGTGAGTGTGTGTGCGCTTGCGTGCATGACTCTGTGTGTGTATGTGTCTGTGTGTGTGTGTGTGTATGTATGTACAGTGAGGGAAAAAAGTATTTGATCCCCTGCTGATTTTGTACGTTTGCCCACTGACAAAGACATGATCAGTCTATAATTTTAATGGTTTATTTGAACAGTGCGAGACAGAATAACAACAAAAAAATCCAGAAAAACACATGTCAAAAATGTTATAAATTGAGTTGCATTTTAATGAGGGAAATAAGTATTTGACCCCTCTGCAAAACATGACTTAGTACTTGGTGGCAAAACCCTTGTTGGCAATCACAGAGGTCAGACGTTTCTTGTAGTTGGCCACCAGGTTTGCACACATCTCAGGAGGGATGTTGTCCTACTCCTCTTTGCAGATCTTCTCCAAGTCATTAAGGTTTCAAGGCTGACGTTTGGCAACTTGAACCTTCAGCTCCCTCCACAGATTTTCTATGGGATTAAGGTCTGGAGACTGGCTAGGCCACTCCAGGACCTTAATGTGCTTCTTCTTGAGCCACTCCTTTGTTGCCTTGGCCGTGTGTTTTGGGTCATTGTCATGCTGGAATACCCATCCACGACCCATTTTCAATGCCCTGGCTGAGGGAAGGAGGTTCTCACCCAAGATTTGACGGTACATGGCCCCGTCCATCGTCCCTTTGATGCGGTGAAGTTGTCCTGTCCCCTTAGCAGAAAAACACCCCCAAAGCATAATGTTTCCACCTCCATGTTTGACGGTGGGGATGGTGTTCTTGGGGTCATAGGCAGCATTCCTCCTCCTCCAAACACGGCGAGTTGAGTTGATGCCAAAGAGCTCGATTTTGGTCTCATCTGACCAAAACACTTTCACCCAGTTCTCCTCTGAATCATTCAGATGTTCATTGGCAAACTTCAGACGGGCCTGTATATGTGCTTTCTTGAGCAGGGGGACCTTGCGGGCGCTGCAGGATTTCAGTCCTTCACGGTGTAGTGTGTTACCAATTGTTTTCTTGGTGACTATGGTCCCAGCTGCCTTGAGATCATTGACAAGATCCTCCCGTGTAGTTCTGGGCTGATTCCTCACAGTTCACATGATCATTGCAACTCCACGAGGTGAGATCTTGCATGGAGCCCCAGGCCGAGGGAGATTAACAGTTATTTTGTGTTTCTTCCATTTGCGAATAATCGCACCAACTGTTGTCACCTTCTCACCAAGCTGCTTGGCGATGGTCTTGTAGCCCATTCCAGCCTTGTGTAGGTCTACAATCTTGTCCCTGACATCCTTGGAGAGCTCTTTGGTCTTGGCCATGGTGGAGAGTTTGGAATCTGATTGATTGATTGCGTCTGTGGACAGGGGTCTTTTATACAGGTAACAAACTGAGATTAGGAGCACTCCTTTTAAGAGTGTGCTCCTAATCTCAGCTCGTTACCTGTATAAAAGACACCTGAGAGCCAGAAATCTTTCTGATTGAGAGGGGTCAAATACTTATTTCCCTCATTAAAATGCGAATCAATTTATAACATTTTTGACATGCATTTTTCTGGATTTTTTTGTTGTTATTCTGTCTCTCACTGTTCAAATAAACCTACCATTAAAATTATAGACTGATAATTTCTCTGTCAGTGGGCAAACGTACAAAATCAGCAGGGGATCAAATACTTTTTTCCCTCACTGTATGTATGTACAGTGGGGAGAACAAGTATTTGATACACTGCCGATTTTGCAGGTTGTCCTACTTACAAAGCATGTAGAGGTCTGTAGTTTTTATTCAGGGTACACTTCAACTGTGAGAGACTGAATTTTAAAAAGAAATCCAGAAAATCACATTGAATGATTTTTAAGTAATTAATTTGCATTTTATTGCATGACATACAGTGGGGGAAAAAAGTATTTAGTCAGCCACCAATTGTGCAAGTTCTCCCACTTAAAAAGATGAGAGTGGCCTGTAATTTTCATCATAGGTACACGTCAACTATGACAGACAAAATGAGGAAAAAAAATCCAGAAAATCACATTGTAGGATTTTTAATGAATTTATTTGCAAATTATGGTGGAAAATAAGTATTTGGTCAATAACAAAAGTTTCTCAATACTTTGTTATATACCCTTTGTTGGCAATGACACAGGTCAAACGTTTTCTGTAAGTCTTCACAAGGTTTTCACACACTGTTGCTGGTATTTTGGCCCATTCCTCCATGCAGATCTCCTCTAGAGCAGTGATGTTTTGGGGCTGTCGCTGGCCAACACAGACTTTCAACTCCCTCCAAAGATGTTCTATGGGGTTGAGATCTGGAGACTGGCTAGGCCACTCCAGGACCTTGAAATGCTTCTTACGAAGCCACTCCTTCGTTGCCCGGGCGGTGTGTTTGGGATCATTGTCATGCTGAAAGACCCAGCCACGTTTCATCTTCAATGCCCTTGCTGATGGAAGGAGGTTTTCACTCAAAATCTCACGATACATGGCCCCATTCATTCTTTCCTTTACACGGATCAGTCGTCCTGGTCCCTTTACAGAAAAACAGCCCCAAAGCATGATGTTTCCACCCCCATGCTTCACAGTAGGTATGGAGTTCTTTGGATGCAACTCAGCATTCTTTGTCCTCCAAACACGACGAGTTGAGTTTTTACCAAAAAGTTCTATTTTGGTTTCATCTGACCATATGACATTCTCCCAATCCTCTTCTGGATCATCCTCTTCTGGATCATCCAAATGCACTCTAGCAAACTTCAGACGGGCCCGGACATGTACTGGCTTAAGCAGGGAGACACGTCTGGCGCTGCAGGATTTGAGTCCCTGGCGGCGTAGTGTGTTACTGATGGTAGGCTTTGTTACTTTGGTCCCAGCTCTCTGCAGTTCTTTCACTAGGTCCCCCCGTGTGGTTCTGGGATTTTTGCTCACCGTTCTTGTGATCATTTTGACCCCACGGGGTGAGATCTTGCGTGGAGCCCCAGATCGAGGGAGATTATCAGTGGTCTTGTATGTCTTCCATTTCCTAATAATTGCTCCCACAGTTGATTTCTTCAAACCAAGCTGCTTACCTATTGCAGATTCAGTCTTCCCAGCCTGGTGCAGGTCTACAATTTTGTTTCTGGTGTCCTTTGACAGCTCTTTGGTCTTGGCCATAGTGGAGTTTGGAGTGTGACTGTTTGAGGTTGTGGACAGGTGTCTTTTATACTGATAACAAGTTCAAACAGGTGCCATTAATACAGGTAACGAGTGGAGGACAGAGGAGCCTCTTAAATAAGAAGTTACAGGTCTGTGAGAGCCAGAAATCTTGCTTGTTTGTAGGTGACCAAATACTTATTTTTCACCATAATTTGCATATAAATTCATAAAAAATCCTACAATGTGATTTTCTGGAGAAAAAAATTTTTCTCCTCAATTTGTCTGTCATAGTTGACTTGTACCTATGATGAAAATTACAGGCCTCTCTCATCTTTTTAAGTGGGAGAACTTGCACAATTGGTGGCTGACTAAATACTTTTTTCCCCCACTGTAAGTATTTGATACATCAGAAAAGCAGAACTTAATATTTGGTACAGAAACCTTTGTTTGCAATTACAGAGATCATACGTCTCCTGTAGGTCTTGACCAGGTTTGCACACACTGCAGCAGGGATTTTGGCCCACTCCTCCATACAGACCTTCTCCAGATCCTTCAGGTTTCGGGGCTGTCGCTGGGCAATACGGACTTTCAGCTCCCTCCAAAGATTTTCTATTGGGTTCAGGTCTGGAGACTGGCTAGACCACTCCAGGACCTTGAGATGCTTCTTACGGAGCCACTCCTTAGTTGCCCTGGCTGTGTGTTTCGGGTCGTTGTCATGCTGGAAGACCCAGCCACGACCCATCTTCAATGATCTTACTGAGGGAAGGAGGTTGTTGGCCAAGATCTCGCGATACATGGCCCCATCCATCCTCCCCTCAATACGGTGCAGTCCTCCTGTCCCCTTTGCAGAAAAGCATCCCCAAAGAATGATGTTTCCACATCCATGCTTCATGGTTGGGATGGTGTTCTTGGGGTTGTACTCATCCTTCTTCTTCCTCCAGACACAGTGAGTGGAGTTTAGACCAAAAAGCTCTATTTTTTTCTCATCAGACCACATGACCTTCTCCCATTCCTCCTCTGGATCATCCAGATGGTCATTGGCAAACTTCAGACGGGCCTGGACATGCGCTGGCTTGAGCAGGGGGACCTTGCGTGCGCTGCAGGATTTTAATCCATGACGGCGTAGTGTGTTACTAATGGTTTTCTTTGAGACTGTGGTCCCAGCTCTCTTCAGGTAATTGACCAGGTCCTGCCGTGTAGTTCTGGGCTGATCCCTCACCTTCCTCATGATCATTGATGCCCCACGAGGTGAGATCTTGCATGGAGCCCCAGACCGAGGGTGATTGACCGTCATCTTGAACTTCTTCCATTTTCTAATAATTGCGCCAACAGTTGTTGCCTTCTCACCAAGCTGCTTGCCTATTGTCCTGTAGCCCATCCCAGCCTTGTGCAGGTTTATCCCTGATGTCCTTACACAGCTCTCTGGTCTTGGCCATTGTGGAGAGGTTGGAGTCTGTTTGATTGAGTGTGTGGCAGGTGTCTTTTATACAGGTAACGAGTTCAAACAGGTGCAGTTAATACAGGTAATGAGTGGAGAACAGGAGGGCTTCTTGAAGAAAAACTAACAGGTCTGTGAGAGCCAGAATTCTTACTGGTTGGTAGGTGATCAAATACTTATGTCATGCAATAAAATGCAAATTAATTACTTAAAAATCATACAATGTGATTTTCTGGATTTTTGTTTTAGATTCCGTCTCTCACAGTTGAAGTGTACCTATGATAAAAATTACAGACCTCTACATGCTTTGTAAGTATGAAAACCTGCAAAATCGGCAGTGTATCAAATACTTGTTCTCCCCACTGTATGTATGTATAAATGGCCTCCAGGGAGGGTTAAAACATGTTCTCAGACACTAAGCTATTCATTAGGTCCTCATGTTATGAATACCTGGGGGGCTGCTCTTCTTCAGAACTGAATGAGTTAACAGTAAATTATGGTAGAGTTCACCTTAGGGTACACTAGGGACAGACAATGTCACCAGAGGTGAGTCTTCCCCAACAGATTCATGAGAAGAGGCTGTGGCAATGTCCCAAATGGCACCCTATTCACTACATAGTGCACTACCCGCTCTGGTAAAACGTAGGGCACTATGTAGGGAATAGGGTGCCATTTGGGACTCAACCTAGGTCACTACTTTCACCAAGTAATCTGAGATCTGTGATAGGGGTGTAACTTCTATTTCACAGCCATCTTTACCATCAGAATCACAATTAGAATGATTTAAAATCATTGAATTGCTGCAAGCATTGGCTGGAGGGAGTTTTCACCATTGTTACATCCATGATGGGGAGAATGGGTACACTTAATATGGCCGCAGGTCCAATCCATCACATCACAGACACAGGAATGGAATTCGAATGGGAATGTATGTTCTAGGATTTTAAATTCTATACCAATGCAATGACCTTCCAATAACCTTCAAATTACCATAGCGATAGTTAGAGGATTCAACTTGGATATAACCCACTTTAGCATGGACATTGCCATTGAGGGTTCCACCAGTTTGAAGTAGTCAACTGGGTGGGGTTGGGTTGGGAGTGATCTCCCAAGGATCAGAGCATGGTCTTCTTCTTTAAATAGGGTGCTATCAAAGAGTTTCTAAACCCAGAGGCGCAACATCGTGAGACTTCCAGGAATGCTTACGAAACAGACCAAGCAGACCAGGCCGGGATTTGGGGTTTGAGAAGAATGAAAAATTATTCCTTAGTTGTTAATTTTTTCGAAATCTAAAAAGGCACAACCTAGATTTGTGCCAATGTCTTAAAGATGCACTATGCAGATATCGCTCCGCCATTTCCTGGTTGTTAAAATTCTAATAGTTAGCCTAATTTCAGTTTATGTGACAAAACAAGCATGTATATTATAGAGCAGTGGTCACCAAACGGTCGATCGCGATCGGCTGGTCATTCCTAGTTGGTCACCAAACATTTCTGTAAAAAAACTAAGATAAAGCCTATTTTTGGGGGGCGCTGTTGGCAGTAGGTGCACTTGATTCAGCAGCCCTAGCGCCGGGAAGGCAAAGTGTTCCCATTTTTAACCATTTCATGAGTCTGAAGGTAGAACTCCACCTACCCGACAGGCCCAGAGAGCAAATCAAGTGCACCTATAGGCCTACCGCTGGCCAATCAGAAGGCTCAGAACACAGTGTCTGCAGTTTCCTAGAGCCATATACTTTAAAAAGAAAACCTCGAATGCACAGCAAAGTTGATACTGTGAGATTTCAAAACTTTTAAAACCATGACTAGAGAGAGACTCACTGAATACAGCAAAGAGTTGCTGTTTATAAGTAAGTTAATATTTAGGTTGTTATTCAGCACTGTCAACACTCTGTTAAAGCCATAAAATCCTTGTTCTTCCTACTTCCACTCGCGCTACAACCAGCACTGCAGCTGCAATGAATGAGTAGGAAAGTGAATCGATAGGCTTGCATTATTTTTAGCGGCTTGGGTCTATTTTAATAGAGGAATATTTCACTTTCTCTGGTCATAGGAGTAACAACATGAATTGGTGCATGAGGCTGAAATAATGCAGTGCAACTTGAGTTTCGCCATCAGCTGGAAGACGGTGTCCCCTTTTCTCAGCGGAGGGAGGGAGGAGAGCACGTCAATCTGGTCCACAGTGATTTTTTGCCAGTGCGTAAAATTTGGCTAGATTGAAAATGTATTTCAACGGGCATTTCACAATCAGACATAATGGTCGCCTACCTTTTGGGATTTACATTGGAGATGTGCCATTTTTTCATGGTTCTAGATTGATTTTAAGCATTTTGAACGAAGAGCCGTTTGGGAGCCAAATCAGCCAGCTCACCGAAAAGACTCACTACCCTCCCTCCCCTCACACTGACCATCATATGCAGGCCATCAGTCCAGTAAAAAAAAAAAATAGCTAATTATTATGCTCACTCAATTGTGCCTCACAAGTAATACAACAAATGTTATATTGACAGTGTGATCATAAACCTACATTTTAAAAATATCATATCAAAATGGTCTGAGAAGAACTTTGGCAGGACAATTCAAGCGTAGCCAATATGCAGTTATAATGTATTGGGCCTATAGCCTACTGCACAAACCTCATTGCTACAGAACTGTTTTTAATTAGCTAATGTTGCATATGCTTACTTTCAAGTCATGTCTAAAAAAAAAAATCTGAGCGGTAGATTTCGGCTTGCATTTTGACTCAAAGTGATCTTGACTCAGAAAAGGTTGGTGACCACTGGTGTAGAGAATAATTCATTGTACCCTCTAAACCGCTGTGAAATATATTTTCCATTACCAACACTATTGTATTTTCAGCTGTTTGAAGCTGCTGTACAAAACCGAAAGTAAAAGACACAAAAATGAAACTTAAGAACGGGAACCATAGAAATAGTGCATAGAAGAGATCTACCGCTTCTTAGACTTGCTTTCAATGAGAATGACAGATCTATAACTCCTATTTCTATGTGAATTTGGTCAGGTCGCCCAAAAAGTTACATATTGCAGCTTTAAGTTAGTTGAACATGTTATTACTCCAACCTTGAGAAAGTGAAAAACTGACACATTTTCAATTTAGTTAAAACTTTATCTAGAGGGAGTGCCTTGATTTGACGGCACTGCACATGTGCAGTTCGGCACGAAACGACCGTTAGACCCAATGATGTGTTTCTACGCATGAGCTTAGCTAGCCAACGTCGCCATGACATAGCCTACAAGTGTGATTGGGGACTGCTATTGGATTTACCGACACCAATATTAGCATTACGCTTTTTTCAAACAAAAATAAGAAAATTACTTTAAAATGGAGATTGCCTCGATGGCGCTGCCCATGCTGTTACAGACGCCATGATGGCACAGATACAAAGATGAGACCTCTTTCCATCTCTATAATGTTGGGCTAACATTTGACCCCCCAGTGAGCTGTAACCCCTGACCTCTCACCTGTTGGGTTTGGGGAAGAGGAAGCAGGTGTTGGGCTTGCGTATGAAGTACTCGTCAGCGGCGCGGCTGATGGCCATGTTGTTCTTCTCCCTCCTGGGGGGCTGATCCAGGGAGAGGGGCATCTCCACCTTGGGCCGCAGCATGCCCAGGTAGGGGGGCAGCATGTGGATGAAGATCTGGAAGGAGGGGAGAGAGAGAGAGAGAGAGAGGGAGATTAGCACGGCAGGCAGGCAGCATAAAATTCATTGAACTACAGAAAAATACCTTTATTTTTTTTTACTGCATGGGGGTAATCAGTCAAAGTAATATTCAGTGATATTCATGGATTTGAACAACCTTCATGGCTTTCCATAGACCTACTATCAGTAATGAATGTTTCATTGGATATGTCTGTATAAATACCTTCAGAAATACCATGAATCAGCATGTTATTATCAGCAAGGCTGTTGACCAGCTGTTGCTTCCGCTAACTCTACTTCTATCTCGTGTGTGTGTCTCTCTCTCTCTCTCTCTGAATGGCAGCAGGTAGCTGGTTCAAATAACCGAGCTGACAAGGTGAAAAATATGTTCATGTGCCCTTGAGCAAGGCACTTAACCCTAAATTGCTCCAAGGGGCACCGTACTACTATGGCTGACCCTGTAAAACGCGTGTCAAACTCATTCCACGGAGGGCCAAGTACCTGCGGGTTTTCGCTCCTCCCTTGTACTCGATTGATGAATTTAGGTCACTGATTAGTAAGGAACTCCCCTCACCTGGTTGTCTAGGTGTTAATTGAAAGGAAAAACCTAAAACCAGGAGACACTAGGCCCTCCACGGAATGAGTTCAACAGCCCTGGTCTAAAACAACATTTCACTGCACCTATCCAGTGTATGTGACAATAAAACATCTATATAGCTTAGTTGGTAGAGCATGGCATTTGCAACGCCAGGGTTGTGGGTTCGATTCCAGTATGAAAAAAATAATAATAAATTAAATAAAAATAAACATGTATGCATTCACTAACTGTAAGTCGCTCTGGATAAGAGCGTCTGCTAAATGACTAAAATGTAATGTAAATATATATACACTGAGTGTACAAAACATTAGGAACACCTGGTGACTATCCAGGTGAAAGCTATGATCCCTTATTTATGTCACCTGTTAAATCAAATCAAATGTTATTTGTCACATACACGTGTTTAGCAGATGTTATAGCGGGTGTAGTGAAATGCGTGTGCTTCTAGCTCCGACAGTGCAGTAATATCTAACAAGTAATATCTAACAATTTCACAACATAAGAAAATATACATATATGGACAAGCAATGACAGAGCGGCATCGACTAAGATGCAGTAGAATATTATAGAATAGAATGCAGTATATACAGTTGAAGTCGGAAGTTTACATACACTTAGGTTGGAGTCATTAAAACTAGTTTTTCAACCACTCCACAAATTTCTTGTTAACAAACTATAGTTTTGGCAAGTCGGTTAGGACATCTACTTTGTGCATGACAAGTAACTTTTCCAACAATTGTTTACAGACAGATTATTTCACTTATAATTCACTGTATCACAATTCCAGTGGGTCAGAAGTTTACATACACTAAGTTGACTGTGCCTTTAAACAGCTTGGAAAATTCCAGAAAATGATGTCATGGCTTTAGAAGGTTCTGATAGGCTAATTGACATAAGTTGAGTCAATTGGAGGTGTACCTGTGGATCTATTTCAAGGCCTACCTTCAAACTCAGTGCCTCTTTGCTTGACATCATGGGAAAATCAAAAGAAATCAGCCAAGACCTCAGAAAATACATTGTAGACCTCCACAAGTCTGGTTCATCCTTGGGAGCAATTTCCAAACGTCTGAAGGTACCACGTTCATCTGTACAAACAATAGTAAGCAAGTATAAACACCATGGGACCACGCAGCCGTCATACCGCTCAGGAAGGAGACGCGTTCTGTCTCCTAGAAATGAACGTACTTTGGTGCGAAAAGTGCAATCAATCCCAGAACAGCAGCAAAGAACCTTGTGAAGATACTGGAGGAAACAGATACAAAAGTATCTATATCCACAGTAAAACTAGTCCTATATCGACATAACCTGAAAGGCCGCTCAGCAAGGAAGAAGCCACTGCTCCAAAACCGCCATAAAACCTCCAAAAAAGCCAGTTTGCAACTGCACATGGGGACAAAGATCGTACTTTTTGGAGAAATGTCCTCTCGTCTGATGAAACAAACCATTTTTGTATGGACTTCGCTTTGTGCACGGGGGCATTGTCATGCTGAAACAGGAAAAGGGCCTTCCCCAAACTGTTGCCACAAAGTTGGAAGCACAGAAACGTCTAGAATTTCATTGTATCCTGTAGCGTTAAGATTTCCCTTCACTGGAACTAAGGGGCCAAGCCCGAACCATGAAAAACAGCCCCAGGCCATTATTCCTCCTCCACCAAACTTTACAGTTGGCACTATGCATTCGGGCAGGTAGCGTTCTCCTGGCATCCTCTAAACCCAGATTTGTCTGTCGGACTGACAGATGGTGAAGTGTGATTCATCACTACAGAGAATTCGTTTCCTCTGCTCCAGAATCCAATGGCGGCGAGCTTTACACTACTCCAGCCGACGCTTGGCATTGCGCATGGTGATCTTAGGCATGAAGCTCCCGTCGAACAGTTATGGGCTCTATGCACGCATCACTTCCGCATTGGCGTAAGGATGATTGGGCATTTCCAGTTACCGGAAAAAAAACATTAGACAGTGACAGTAGACCGTTATGGAAGAGGTGTTTGCTGGAGTTGCCTAAAGTATCTGTTAATAATATACGGAGGGTCGTCCGGACATCCAGTATGACACCACGTAGCAAACTGGATAAAGGCTTCAAATTTTACGTTTCTTCTTTTCTTTGCAACTTTGAAGGTAATATGCTAACGCTAGCTAGCCTGAGCTAGAAGCCTTGCTTTGGTGTTTTAAGTCATGACTCATGACCTGCTTCAGGTTAATCATGCTTTAAATAAAGTTTACTCATGTGTATATACCTCTCACTTCATGTGTTTGTACTTTTATGAAAGTATCAGGTAAAAACAGGGCTACAAATGAGATCTCCCGAGTGGCGCAGTGGTCTAAGGCACTGCATCGCAATGCTAGCTGTGCCACTAGAGATCCTGGTTCAAATCCAGGCTCTGTCGTAGCCGGCCGCGACCGGGAGACCCATGGGGCGGCGCGCAATTGGCCCAGCGTCGTCCAGGGTAGGGGAGGGAATGGCCGGCAGGGATGTAGCTCAGTTGATAGAGCATGGCGTTTGCAACGCCAGGGTTGTGGGTTCGATTCCCACAGGGGGTATAAAAAAATAAAAAAAGAACAACAAAAAAGTATAATAATAATGTGACTAAAACTGTAAGTCGCTCTGGATAAGAGCGTCTGCTAAATGACTTAAATATAATGTAAATGTAAATGTAAATGTAATCTCTGTGAGAGCCAATGAAGAAACTAAAGCCACCACACCAGCTGAGAGTAGGACTAGATTAAGTGACACGTTCAAAGTTCTGTTGAACTTGTTCAAGGTTCCGTTCAACACATGTTTTACTCGTTTAATGTTACCACAGCTTTGATTGCCATTGCTAAGAGAACACTTGAGTGGTTTTCACGATAGCTGAACAGTGGTAGCCTAATACAGACCAGGGTAGCTGAGTGGGAATTGCCATGCTTTGTTGTTGGGTCTGTTGTAAACAAATTGGAGTTTGGTTTGAAATGTAAACAATAATGAGATTGCTACTTTTTCCTGACTTGATAACTGCAATGACAGTAACATATTCCACTCAGCTATTCTTCAAACTGCTGTTCTTCAAACTCAAAACTGTCCTTTCATCTTTACTTCTTTCTTTATAAACATATGGCCCAACTTCCTTGCTTTTGTACTTGATGTTTCTACTTTTCAAGAGGAAAAAAACTAAGACGAATTGCATCTGGCAGACACTGTACATTGCGGCACACAGCAGTGATGGCTGGAAGAGCTGTCATCCTGTTTTTGAAAGGACACTTTTGTACGTTTACACGTCATCGTGTTATAAGTCAAGACAAAGTATTACAAGTAAAAACATGAACATAAACATTAAGATAAACAACAACAACAACGAAAATGTACCGCTTCGGATGTTTTTGATGACAAGCATTCAATGCTAGCATACGGTAGCACAGCATTCTACGATAACCGGAAGTTTACATCCATCCTGAGATTTAACCGGAAATACGTCATGCTCGCCTGTAACATATCGCCTATTGTGCTGACGTTGCTTCCAGAGGCAGTTTGGAACTCGGTAGCAAGTGTTGCAACTGAGGACTGACGATTACTTTTACACGCTACGTGCTTCAGCGGTCCCGTTCTGTGAGCTTGTGTGGCCTACCACTTCACGGCTGAGCCGTTGTTGCTCCTTGACGTTTCCACTTCACAATAACATCACTTACAGTTGACCGGGGCAGCTCTAGCAGGGCAGAAATTTGACGAACTGACTTGTTGGAAAGGTGGCATCCTATGACGGTGCCACGTTGAAAGTCACTGAGCTCTTCAGTAAGGCCATTCTACTGCCAATGTTTAACTATGGAGATTGCATGGCCGTGTGCTCGATTTTTTTATAGACCTGTCAGCAATGGGTGTGGCTGAAATAGCCGAATCCACTAATTTGAAGGGGTGTCCACATACTTTTGTATATAAATAACAATAATAAACTGATAATATTTTCTTACAAATACACCATATATTGTTGGAAGGCAGTGTCCAGTCTACTGTCCACTACTCCAGTGTCAGACTCAGATATACACTATCATTGAGTTTGCACTAAAGCCGACCTTCTCGTTCTGTGTGTGTGTGTGAATGTGTGCTTGCATTTCTGTGTGTGTGTGTGTGTTCGCATGTGCGTACTTGTGTGTCCACTCAATCACTCAGACACACACACGCAAGCGCACACATACAAACATAAGCGTGCGCTTGCATGTGTGTGTGAATGAGTGGACACACCGTAGAAAACTATTTTTTGCATGACTGAGTCTCAATGCATCAGCCCTCTCACTCTCAAAAGTAGTCGTCTCAGGGAGGAAAATTCAATCAGGTGCCAGTAGAAAAGCTATTGGTGCAGCGGACTGGGAGTGTCTATATGTGTCTCTGTTTGCAGATAATGGGACTCAGATAAGCCTAGAGAGAGATTGGCCGTGTCCGAATACCCGTACTTGCGTACGCATTTTGGGTATGCGAAAATAGAACCTTTTATAGTATATGACATTTCTAAAATGTAGTATACTTTAAATGCCAGGATGTCATACTCATTTAGGCTTTTCATCTAGTAGAATTCACTGCACACTATTGAGGAAGAGAATCGTCTTTCCAGACCCATGTGTGTTTGACAACAGCTGATAATCAGCTGAGGGACTCGCTGCACTAAAATGAGGGAAAGGCGGGAATCAACACAACTGTGCATTAGATGACACATTCTCAGTAGGATGAGACTAGTATGCTGATATGTGTTGCTTACTGCATTCGTTTTTTACTAAACAGTACGTGCTAAATAGTATGTAGTACGATGAGTACACAGTATGTCGTTTTAGTAAGTAGCAGGCAAAACAGATTTCGGACACGGCCACTCGGTGTTTTCTCTTACGCTCTGATAGAATAGGAACATTTGTTTGTTTTTTTAGACGATTGATGTGGTGCTCTCCAACAACACAGCTAAGGAGATGTGTGTGGAGGTGTAAGGAGGTGTAGGTGGGGATTGGATCCCTGGTTGGTTAGACTGGTAAGGAGGTGTGTGTGGGGATTGGATCCCTGGTTGGTTAGACTGGTAAGGAGGTGTGGGTGGGGATTGGATCCCTGGTTGGTTAGACTGGTAAGGAGGTGTGTGTGGGGATTGGATCCCTGGTTGGTTAGACTGGTAAGGAGGTGTAGGTGGGGATTGGATCCCTGGTTGGTAGTAGAGGGATGTGGGGTAGGAGGTGTTAGTGGAGGTGTGGTGGATGATCCCTGGTTGGTTAGACTGGTAAGGAGGTGTAGGTGGGGATTGGATCCCTGGTTGGTTAGACTGGTAAGGAGGTTGTAGGTGGGGATTGGATCCCTGGTTGGTTAGACTGGTAAGGAGGTGTGGTGGAGGTTGTAAGGAGGTGTGTGTGTGGGGATTGGATCCCTGGTTGGTTAGACTGGTAAGGAGGTGTGTGGAGGTGTAAGGAGGTGTGTGTGGGGATTGGATCCCTGGTTGGTTAGACTGGTAAGGAGGTGTGTGGAGGTGGTAAGGAGGGTGTGTGTGGGGATTGGATCCCTGGTTGGTTAGACTGGTAAGGACGGTTGTGTGGAGGTGTAAGGAGGTGTGTGTGGGGATTGGATCCCTGGTTGGTTAGACTGGTAAGGAGGTGTGTGGAGGTGTAAGGAGGTGTGTGTGGGGATTGGATCCCTGGTTGGTTAGACTGGCAAGGAGGTGTGTGGAGGTGTAAGGAGGTGTGTGTGGGGATTGGATCCCTGGTTGGTTAGACTGGCAAGGAGGTGTGTGGAGGTGTAAGGAGGTGTAGGTGGGGATTGGATCCCTGGTTGGTTAGACTGGCAAGGAGGTGTGTGTGGGGATTGGATCCCTGGTTGGTTAGACTGGCAAGGAGGTGTAGGTGGGGATTGGATCCCTGGTTGGTTAGACTGGCAAGGAGGTGTGTGGAGGTGTAAGGAGGTGTAGGTGGGGATTGGATCCCTGGTTGGTTAGACTGGCAAGGAGGTGTGTGGAGGTGTAAGGAGGTGTGTGTGGGGATTGGATCCCTGGTTGGTTAGACTGGCAAGGAGGTGTAGGTGGGGATTGGATCCCTGGTTGGTTAGACTGGCAAGGAGGTGTGTGGAGGTGTAAGGAGGTGTGTGTGGGGATTGGATCCCTGGTTGGTTAGACTGGTAAGGAGGTGTGTGTGGGGATTGGATCCCTGGTTGGTTAGACTGGCAAGGAGGTGTGTGTGGGGATTGGATCCCTGGTTGGTTAGACTGGTAAGGAGGTGTGTGTGGGGATTGGATCCCTGGTTGGTTAGACTGGTAAGGAGGTGTGTGTGGGGATTGGTCCCTGTTGGTTAGACTGGGCAAGGAGGTGTGTGTGGGGATTGGATCCCTGGTTGGTTAGACTGGTAGGCGGTGTGTGGAGGTGTAGGAGGTGTGGTGTGGGGATTGGATCCCTGGTTGGTTAGACTGGTAAGGAGGTGTGTGGAGGTTGTAAAGGAGGTGTGTGTGGGGACTGGATCCCTGGTTGGTTAGACTGGCAAGGAGGGTGTGTGGAGGTGTAGGAGGTGTAGGTGGGGATTGGATCCCTGGTTGGTTAGACTGGCAAGGAGGTGTGTGGAGGTGTAAGGAGGTGTAGGTGGGGATTGGATCCCTGGTTGGTTAGACTGGCAAGAGGCAGTTTTTCGCCAAAGCTGCCAAGCGCCGACATCAGAGAGCGTCCTGGAGAAAGAACTATCAGACAAGCAGGGCCTGCCAGCACACACGAGTACATACGAATGCACGCAGACAACTCTCTCCCAGCTCGAGACAACATACTTCAACAGGAGGAGGAGGAGTATGTAGTATGTACCGTTAGGGGGTCTCTTGTCTTTCTCCACCCATGGCCTTAAACAACCCCAGATTTAATTCATCTTTACCAGTGTTCTGTTACATCACGCACAGTCCTTGGCTATGCTCCCCAAATGTTCCACTGAGGTCAACCGTTAAAGTTCCCATGTATTAGTCCACCGTGGCCAGTGTTTATCAGTGGTGACTGCTGGGAGGAGATATCGGAGGACAGGCACACTGTAACACCTGAGATTGATGAATGGAAAGGAATTAAACACATTATTTCCATGTGTTTGATACCATTCCAGGTATTCCAGCCATTACAATGAGCCTGTCCTCCAGAATCACCTCCCACCAGCCACCTCTGATGTGTATATAAAGAACGGGGCTGAGCCTCAGATAACATACTTTCTGGAAAGATCCACTGTTTCAGAATGAGGGGTGCTGTAGCTCTGCTGGTGTTGCTGTTCTGTCTGTCTGGTGGGCTCAGGGACATAGTGGAGGGGTCCAAGAGAATGACATCACTCAACAAGGTCACAGGACCGAAGCTACAGAGACAACCCAACCTGACGGCTGAGCTGAGAGCGCTGAGAGACATGGTTTTGGAACAGAGAGTGGAGCTGAGGTACATGGAGGCCAGAGATACAGCCAGTGAGGGAGAGGTGGAGGAACTGAAGAGAGAGAATGCCGTTTTAGTGAACAAGGTGGTCGAGCAAGGAGTGGAGCTGAGCGTCACCAAGACTGAACTGCAGAGCCACAAGAACACAGTGGATCAACTGACAGGAGAGGTGGAGGAGCTGAAGAGAGAGAATGCAGAAAGGCCAAAGGTGGCCTTCTCTGCTGCTTTAGGCAGTCCAGTGGGACCCTTCAATGCTGACACCTTTCTGGTCTACACCAATGTCATCACTAACATTGGTAACGCCTACACCCCTGTTACAGGGGCCTTCACAGCACCAGTGAGAGGGCTCTACTACATTAGATTCATTGGTATGGTCAACCGTATCTCAGCAAAGGCCAATGTAGTATTGCTTAAGAATGGTCAGCATATAAAAGCGGCAAATGACTACAATGGACACAATCAGTATGTATCCAATGCAGTGATTCTGTTGCTGGAGAAAGGAGATGTGGTCTCCATACACCTTGACTCAGGCTGCAGACTCTATGATGATTTCAATAAACATACCATCTTCAGTGGCTCCCTGCTCTTTCCTATGTGATAGGAACACCGTATTTGAGGGTTAACTGATTCGGTGGATGTCACATTGAAACTAAGTGCATTCCTGAATTTTACAATATGCTGTTTAAATCCCTCTCTTTCTCTCTCTCGCTCTCTTATTCACATAAACAGACTATGAACTGTGCACTAACCCACAATGCTCCTAACCAATTAAGACTAACTGTCATCCTTGATCCAATGTGTGATGTCACAGTGAGTAGCAAGCATATCTGGTAGTGAACATTGATCTCTGCTATATCCAGGGTTGGGTCAATTTCATTTAAATACAGTCAGCTTAGGAAGTAAACTGACATTCCAATTACATTTTTTCTAAATGCTTGCTACTCACTGTGACATCTCACTGCTTTTGCTCAATGCTTTTCAAATGAGTTTTTTTATTTTCTTTATTGGATTTGGAATTTCAGTTTACTTCCTGTATTGACTGAATTGAAATGGAATTGACCACAACCCTGGATATAGCATGTCACTCTGTCCTATGTGGCATTCCCCATTCACTCAGTTGGTAGAGCATGGCGTTTGCAACGCCAGGGTTGTGGGTTCGATTCCCACGGGGGGCCAGTATGAAAATGTATGCACTCACTAACTGTAAGTCGCTCTGGATAAGAGCGTCTGCTAAATGACTAAAATGTCAAATGTAATATGCTAACCAGCTAACGAATACTTCAGCACCATATTCCTGTCAATGGGTCTCTCTGCTCCGGAATAAGAACTCCTCAGGTTAATATCTTCTAGTTGTTGACACACACTCACTTTTAGAGGAGGAGAAAAGGCAGAGGAGAAACAGAGGGAAAAGGAGGAGAAAATACTGTATAGGGTCTCTCTCTCTCTCTCTCTTCTATCATCCATTTCCGTGCCATTTCCTTCTATTAAAACATGCACATTTCCCGGCATAGCCATGGTGATTGTTCAGCCATTCAATGATTGGCGGTGGTGGTGGAGCAGTACCGAGGCGATGTAATTAGCTTTAAATAATGTAGAGGCCAGAGCCATTGGTGTTTAATATGCATGCAGGTGCACGTCCGGACGGACGCACGTACACACACACACACGAGCATGTACGCGCACGTTCAACACGCGCACGCACATACACACCTTCCTACCCGCCTGCCTGAGACTCCCGATACAAAAACCTTTTTTTCCCCTTCTATTGTTTTCTTCTGCATTCCTCCTCCAGCCGTCATAAATATTCATGAGCTTTAGCGTTTTCAGAGTCTCGTTTACTACGAGTCAAGGAAAGGAAGGGAGAGAGGAAGGAAAAAAAATATATATATGGTATTCCAACAGGGCCGCCCAATCTCACCTTGCGGACCCACATGGGCATGTGGTGTGTGGAGGGGGACCGGTGGTGCAGGTTGAGGACCACCACACTGAGGATGACTGAGACCGTGACCAGGATCATGGTGAACATGAGGTAGTTGACGATGATGGGGACACCCAGGGAGGTCTCAGGGACCTTGTCAGCCAGCAGCAGCAGGAACACAGTCAGGGTGAGCAGCACGTTGATGGACAGACCCATCTTCTCACCTAGACAGAGAGGTGGAGAGGGAAAGGAGGACACACAGAGAAATACATAGATTAACAACATATAGAACATATATTATACACATAGGTTAGAGAGGACACATATAGATAGATCTATATATACATTGACAATATACAATTTAGACATGGATATACACACACACACTTTCTCTCCCCCACACACACCCCATCTCCTCCCCTCCTCCTCCTCCTCCCCCCAGTTGCTACCTACACAGAGGACACCCAGCGTGAGACCCGTGGTCAGGTTAATGTGGTGCAGAGCGGCTCTATAGAGCCTAATAGGAATTAAGCCCTTAAATCATTTGTAACGTGTCCTTAGTCAGGCCTACTGAGCGTGTGTGTGTGCGTGTGGTTGAGGGTGTGTGTGCAAACGAACGTGCGTGTGTGTAGTTAGTTAGTTAGCAGAAGGGAGAAGATAAAAGGATTGTGTTTTAACAGTAGCTGGCCCATCGTGTAATTCATCAGTTAATGACCTGTAATGGGGGATTCATCGCACAGTCCCTTTCTCTCAACTCAAAAACCACATGGAAACGGGATATATTTTACATTACTGGTTAGAGGACAGCCTGTATACCCCAATCACCTACATATTGGGAATGTTGCATTATGATACAGGGGTCACCAAAACAGAAAGAGAGGCACAACACTACTTTGTCAATCACTCAAAGATTTTTACATTGAAATCAATAACGCAAGGAGGTTGCACATCCTGTTAAGACTAACACAGCTCAAAAACCACACGGAATCTGGGAATAATGTGTACATCACTGGTTAGAGGACACTTCGTAGAAGACAGCTAGCTACATTTTGAAGTGTTGCATGTTGATTCGCGGTAAGTGTAACGCAATACGTTTTTTGTTAATCACTTCCATCGATATCACGCTGAAGTCAATAGAACAGGGAGCAAACGATTGGGGTGTAGCGCTGTTTAAACTGAGGTTAAAGTATTCAAAGGCCACACGAAAACTTGGAATAACCTATACATGGTTGGTTAGATGAGAACTTGTAGAAGGCTTATATCTAGATTTTGGAATGACGGGTGTTGATTTCGGGAGGCTACCATCACGGAACAGGGACCAAAACACTTTTTATGTTAGTTAACTTCAACGAATCACGACCCGCCATAGAATATCAACAGTGTCAACGTTTGGCTGCCATTTAACATTTTAGTCATTTAGCAGACGCTCTTATCCAGAGCGACTTAGTGAGTGCATAATTTTTTATTTAAGTGATAGTTTGACTGTCAAATCAGTGTATTGGTACGTGGTCGGTGACTTTTATAGAGAGACCGACCCCAAATTATCGGTGCCATTTCAGAAATAAAATTATAGCGGCGTTCTAAGTCACAAATATTTCTCACTTGTTTTCAAAAGCAGGCGCTCTAGACTAGTGTCCATAGGGTCAGTGCAGCAGGCTGAATGTTTAACGTCCCTACTAAAGGTGATATAACCAAGTGACGTAACAAAGGTGCTTAAAGGACACATACACTGTTTTCACACTGTAAGGAGTGTGTTTGTGGACTTTGTCGTCTCTGGGGGGCTTCCAGAGGCCCATAGATAAGCACAGAGCTGAACAGAGACAGAGAGAGAGGCTGTATCTTTACATACAGAGCCCCAGGGACCTGGGCTTAAATGTGTCCTTGTACTCTCTGTGTGTTATGCTGCTACGCTACAGTGCAGTCACTATGTGACCAAAGAACACCCCCCTCTCTCTCCAACTCCCCTCCTACACAAGCCTTGGGTCCTAAAGAGAAACATGTTCACAGGCAGCTGGGTTTTAACGAGCTTTTTTTAGTGTTGAAGTGTGTGTGTCGGGGAGAGTGTGTGTGCTTGCGTGTGTCTTGGAGCCTGAAGGAACATTCTGTGCTCGTGGTCACCCATGAGAGGCTGTGTGTAGGAAGACGAAGGTCATAGGAGAAACACACCATTTCTGCACTATGAGAGACTCTGTGATAGTTAGCCTGGTCTTCCACTGTGTCATAATATATGCCATTTAGCAGACGCTTTTATCCAAAGCGACTTACAGTCATGCATGCATACATTTTACTTACGGGTGGTCCCGGGAATCAAACCCACTACCCTGGTGTAACAAGCATTACAACTGAGCTACAAAGGACCATTCTCACAGGGGGGCCAGTATGAAACATGTATGCCACTCCACTAACCTGTACGTGGCCTGGGCTAAGAGCGTCTGCTAACTGACTAAACTGTCCCCATGAACGGGGAACCGGAGAAACATTTGATGTTGGGGGGAAAGAACAGGCAGGTTGGATGCATTTTGAAAAAACGATGTATTACATGGAATCTATATGGTTCTATAAATGAACACTATATAAATACATTAATCTGTTCAAACTACTATTAAGTACCGGTAATCCTGTTTTAGGATGCATATCATGATGAACAGGGCAATATCAACATAGCTATCCATAAACTCCTTGAATGAATTAATTTCACTCATTCTATAACACACTGTTCTCTCTGCTGTATTAGAAGTAGATACACCTAATGTCCGTCTTGCATTACACCCCTAATGGTTAAGGTTAGTATTAGAGGAGGCTAAACTGATCCTAAATCTTTGCCTCACCATCGTCAAGGGGTGATTATGGTTAGGGTTGATGAGGCTAAACTGATCTTAGATCTGTGCCTATGTGTGGTGAGCGTTCTGGTACATAAATCCAAGATCATTACACTGATCCTAGATCTGTGCTATCTCACCAGCGTCGGGCGGCAGGTAGAAGTTGAAGATGGCGATGCAGGTGAGGAGGATACAGGGGATGATGATGTTGAAGACATAGTAGAGAGGCTTCCTCTCGATGATCAGGTAGAAGGTGATGTCTTCATACAGGTCCTCACGGATCTCATTCTTCCTGCTGGGCTGGTGGCGGATGTACCACTCACCACTCTCTGGGGACAGTGTGTGTTTGGTAACATATTGAAAATATAACCAAACCAAATACTTTTCAGTGAACATACACAGATTGTTTTAATCATTAGTGTTCTCATCTCTTCCCCAGTGCTGGGTTCAAATAGTATTTGTGTTCTTTGGATCGAACCCATTACCTTGGCGTTACAAGCGCCGTGCTCTACCAGCTGAGCTACAGAGGACCACACAAAACACACATTTGATTGAGCCTGCCCTGCCTGGAGTGTCACATTCACGAGGTTTGCAACTTTTGGGACTATTCCATTGTTTCCATTGTGCCAGCAGACAACTCCAGTATTTGCAAGTTTGTGTGTGCGTGCGTCTTCTCGTGTCCTCACCACTGAAGCCCCCGTCGTATTGGATCTCTTTGATCTCGTTGCCCTGGTCATCTAGAGCGTACTGCAGGTCAACCTCTGATGAGTCGTAGGTATAAGACTTGAACACCATGGTGCAGTTCTGCCAGTCAAATGGGAAGTATGTCACCTGGACACAGGAAACAGGAAGAGGAGGGGGTGTTAGGGTCATGGCTAGAAGGGATCCAGCTTTGTAAAATTAACGTCAGTCAATGCACAACTATTCTTGCAGTTTTAATGCCTTTGTTAAATTAGTGGGGCTTTCCATTCCTACTTTATTTATTTCTCTCTCAAATCCTAAATATGCGCGAATTGCACCGTTTTCAACCCAGAGGTTTTAGCAGCGGCATAGTCAAGCACCTTACTGCTCTGCAATTGCAGTGAGTGCAAAGGGAAGAGTGGGGCTAAACCTAACACGGGTCAATTGTAGGTTAACTTAACGCCACCCAACCTCAAGATCATTTTTCTGGAGTGGGGGGGGGGGGGGGGGTGACAAGTGGTTTCTGTAAGAAGTACAGGCAGGTGTTACCCCTTTGGCAGTTTTACCCCAAGTTACCCTAACAGGTAGGCCTACATTATATTCACTGTGCTTATGCAAGTTTTAAGGGACATAAAATTCATCAATAGGATGCTAACTAGTTAAAAGATCACATTTGGGATCGAGCTAATGATTAGCCCAATAGGGTAAATGCAGATAGGCAAACCCCATGCCTCAGCCAATTTATTTACAGCCACTAAGCTGCATCAGTTGGGCTACAGGTGATAATGCTTATACCTGATAATATGGACCAATGCATTGGCTGTATGCATGGTCCAATATGTTAAAATAATTGTAAAAAATAATCATATCTGGTGGTGTAGAATGTCCTTTAAAAAAGTCACCAGAACTGAGTTTCTTTGTCCTTCTACATAATAATTATCCGGGGGTACCTCGGACCCCCCCCTCAACCACCGTGACCTTTTACCCCCACTGCTACACATTTTTAAGGAAACACTGGTGTGTGAATGTCTGCGCACCTGCATTCGGTGTGTGTGTGTGTACGTCCGTGCGCATGTGTGTGTGTCACCTTGACCCCACAGGAGCTGCAGAAGAGGGCAGGGGGAGACCAGGTCACCCTCCCACTACTATAGGCCTGGACAGCCACATGGAGGGCCACATCAAACACACCATCATTACTGCAGAGCGAGTGAGAGAGAGTGCCGAGAGAGAGAGAGAGAGAGAAAAATACCATTCTCACTGTAGATGAGGTATCCTGTCTAAAGGGCTGTAAGAAATAAGCTTGTAGTTCCTATTAAACTCATAATGCAAGACATAACAGAGACATCACCACAATTAGACAGGCAGATTGAGCACCCAGTATTGTAGTCTTCACTGCATTTTATAGACTTGGCAATAGGCTGGTGAAAGCTCGTTCTTATGGCTAGGGCCCCTCTAAAACCCTGTCCCTGTGAAGGTGTTCTCAGAGATAAAAGGAGAAACATTGATCACCCTCTCTCACACACACAGACGAGTGCACATGCTTGCGCGCGCACACACACACACACACACACACACACGTGGCGCTACACTCTTATAAAAAAATAGTTCCAAAAGGGTTCTTTAGCTGTCCCCATAGAGCCCTTTTTGGTTCCAAGTAGAACCCTTTTTGGTTCCAGGTAGAACCTCTTTGGAAAGGGTTCTACGTGGAACCCAAAGGAGTTCTACCTGGTACCAAAAGGGTTCTACCTGGAACCAAAAAGGGCTCTTCAAAGGGTTCCGCTATGGGGACAACAGAAGAACGTTTTTAGGTTCTTCATTGATAGCACCTTTTTTTAATAAGAGTGTTGGCGAGTGTGTGCAAGTGTGCATGCTTGCTTGTAGGTATGTGAATCCAGCTCCACTCCCCACTCCTCTGAGCTGTGTGGTTCTGTGTGAGTGGGTTCCCAGCTGGAGAGTTGTCTGAGCGGTGTGGTGACACTGGCTCTGTTATTGGGGAGCCATGCTGCCTAATTGCCTATAAAGCAGTGATGAATGAATGGAGCAGAGGGGATATTTACAGCACAGTTAATGGGAGCCTCCACACTGACTGAGCGAGTGTGTAGAAGGGTGTGTGTGTGTGTGTGTACATATACTCTGTCCTGACTGACCCATCCAGCTACTGCCAAAACACTTTCAGTTAACTTAAAAGACATGGCCAGGAGCAGAAGCCTTAAAAATAGCCAATATTCCCCAAAAACCTTTTGGACACAACCCTTAGCTTTTTAGTATCTAAATTACTGTGACCACTCACATTATCTTATTCATTTTGGAATTGGAATGTCATTTTACTTCCTGAATTGACTGAATTGAAATGGACTTTAACCCAACCCAGGTAACAATATATACCATTTAAAATATGCTTTTATCCAAAGTGACTTTCGTATGGGTGGCCCCAGCGAGAATCAAACCCATGACCCTGTTGTTGCTAGTGCAATGCTCTACACAGGAGGAATAATTACTTGTTGATGAGGACGATGTCAGGCAGCCAGACCTTCCCAGCAGGAAGTCGCATCACGTCGATCCTATCATGGTCTTTAGGATTCCAGGAGAGACGGTAGTCTGTCCACTCCTGATATCACAGCGACGTGTGTGTGTGTGTGTGTGTGAGAGAGACAGAGACAGAGAGAGGAATTGTCCATGTGTGTTCATGTGTGTGTTGGGAGTTGGGTTTAAGTGTTAATGATTTAAAACAGATGGAAATATCCAGAGAGAAAGACGGGAGACAGAAAAAGAGGAGGGAAAAAGGTGCATGTGAAACAGGGGATAACTTTCAGATTTGAAATCTAACCACTTCATCATTTGATCAATTTATTTCACATTTTCCGGCTAGTGTCATTAACTATAAGGAGCACAATATTGCAGTGCATTTGGCCATGAATAATATCAATAACATTTGCATACATTTTCATTTTGCATAAACTGTGTACTATCATTTCAAGTGTTCTTACTGGGTGCATGATTTGTATTGCGGTGTTGTGTGTGTTGACATTTTAGCTTTATAAAGCTCTGCTGATGCATGGAGAAATGTTTTACATGCAAATAAAGTTATTGAATTGGAGCCTGAGTCAAGGTAGACTTTAAAGTGAGATAGTGACCAGAGAGAGAGAGAGAGAGAGAGCAAGCGAGAAAGAGCGAGAGAGAGAGAGAGAGTAAAATGTGTACAGTTTGTATACAAACTTACCAGGTTCATGATAACGATTGTGCTCATCTCTTCTGCTTTCATGTTCTAGGGAGAAAGAGCACACAGTAAGGTCGTGGTGCGTTATGGGAAGGCCCTACACTACAGGATATCTGAGAACAGTGTGGATGTCTGCACTACTTCTCTCTCTATACCTGAAACCAGAGAGGGTTACTGTTTGGGAACAGAGGTACTGTAGGGATAAAAGGGGTGAGTTGTTGGGGTTTGGTGGTAGAGTAGGTAGAAGTCACCTCTAACAACTGATTCAAGGTCAGATCTTTTTTATCCCCCTAATGTTTAAGGGTAGAATTTCGGTTGGGTAATCTGATCTTAGATCTGTGGTGAAAAGCCTCTCTGACCAGGGGTATATAGCTGCACTGAGCACAGATAACTGACCGGCAAGGCGCTGCTATTTAAAACCTGCAGAGGAATGTCAGCTAGCTAGACAGCTGTCCTGACCTAGCAGAGAGAGGAGATGAGAGGGGGGGGGGGGGGGGTCTAGCTAGACAGCTGTCCTGACCTAGCAGAGAGAGGAGAGAAGAAGAGGAAAGGGGGATGGGAAGGAGGGGTGAACCGTGTAACTCTCCCTCTATCTATCACCAGATCTCTACATAGCCCTATCACTTACTCATTCACTTCCTGTAACACTTTGGATGTGTCATGCTAACGGGTATGCTGATGGAATGTTGCCAGTAACGTAGTGGTTAGGTGTTTGTGTGTAAGTGCGTGTGTGTGTTGCGGCACCCCTTACCAGGCTGACGAAGGAGGAGAGGATCATGCCAATCCGGACCACCACCTTGGCACCAGGTGAGGCCGCAGGGCGAACCTTCAGGTTGTAGTTTTTGAACAGGTCTTTCATCAGCTGCTTCTCCCCCTCCGACGCACCTGAAGGGGGATGGAGGGAGGATGGGGGAGGGGGGGGGGGTCAGGGATGTGACCATAGAATTACAGAAAACGCTATAATATAACATTTCTCTTATGAATGGGACAATACGATTTCTGGGTTGGTTAATTGATTGTTTGTGCTGGGCTGGAACAAAAGCCTATACTGACTGTGGCTCTTCAGGACCAGCCACCCCTGGCATAAAGCATTTTTTGTGGAACGGTGCATCCTTAACCTACTGCACCTCAATGCTCTGAAATATTCCTATACAATTGTCTACCAAAACAGAGTCAGAACTGGGTTCAAATACAATTTGAAATCCTTGCCATTGCAACAGACAAGCTCAATCAAGCACAGCTAAAGTATTTGAAATGATTTCAAATATGAATTGAACCCTGGTCTGGTGAGAGTGCATGCCCCTGTATAACCAGCCGGTGGCCTCCAACCCTTAGCCCCGCCAAACTGTCCAATATTGACGCAGAGTAGCACTTCCATGCATAACTCCTGTTTTCCCCTGAAGGTTTCACAGCATTTATAATGGCCAGCTTTGGAGGCAGCAGCATTCATCATGTGGCCCTACAAACCAGTGCCCCAGCAAGACCGCCTCTGACAGGGACAAATTACAACCATCACACAACCAGGCACCTCCATTAGCCAAGCACAGGAAGGGTCAGACGGGGAGCTGGAGAGCCGGGAGGGGCTCACAGACGGTTGTTAAGTGTTTAGCTCCTTTTCCTCTCCCATTTAGGCTACACTAAGTTGGTCTCGAAATCAGGTAGGATGTGTGAGTAGAACTTAATTGGATTAAATGTTTAAAGTATAGACCAGATTTTATGTGAGTTCACGACAAATGCCACTGTCACTTGTTATTCAGTGGCCTTTTAACTCAATAGATAGATAGATAGATAGATAGATAGATAGATAGATAGATAGATAGATAGATAGATAGATAGATAGATAGATAGATTAGGGGCAGTAATGAGGCCTTCTGTATAGATGCTACACACACACCTCCCCTCAAACGAACTACAGACAGCTGGGCGGTAAAAATCACCAATATGGACCTCTCCCAAACTCCAAATTATAAAACTCTATCATACTGAAATGGTCTGGGATGCGTTCTCCTGGGAGTTTCTGAAGACAGGATTACCCTACATTCACATTGGAATTTAGGATGTGCCTCAAATGTACTAAGTAGCTTAGGCCTAAATCATATTTTTTTGTTCCACGTACTTCTCCCATTGGTATATCTTGTAATTTAAATCAATATCTATATGATGTCATCACGTCAGACTTATTTTATGATTCACTCACCGGTTGATACAGTTGCGCAAAACTGGCACATAGTAGAGTGCATGTTTTAGGAGAATGCGCATAAAATAGCGGGCACATCAACGCTTGAGAACAATGGAAATAAGTTGGTATTTTCAAACTATATCGACCATGCGTTACCATGTCTCCACAACTCTGTTTCTTAAGTCCCACTTACCTCCCACCGCGTACAGGCCACACAAGCAACATGACAGCAGGATCAAGTCCAAGGGCCCTCATGGCGACCCACAAACCGACAGGCCTTCAAAACAGTAAGTATTTATACTCTTTTACACGACAAATATCTGTTATTTTGCCGTTTGTGCGGTGTAGTTCCTCGGTTTCCGTGTAAATCCAGTGTTGCTGTCTGTCAATCAGGCAGCTCGAGCTAACGGCTGTCTGCTCAAATTACCTTCACGTGGGAGGGGGCACTGTGTCCACCGCGAGAGACCGCCGACGACTTGCATTGGAGACGCAGGGATTTGATTCAGATTCTCCTAGATAATGATAGACTTCTTTAGCCTACACCTCCATATTCAGGCCATGACTGTGCTAGATGAGGTTATATCAAAACGTTTTCAATTTAATAAGGGATACATTCAAACTAACTAATCAATTTGATCCCTTAACTGTTTTAAATAATGAGGACGGTTATGTTCGAGGTTGGGAATGCATAAAATGCTCAAATTAAATATTAAAGAAATAACCAGTGATGAGAATTTTATTTTTATTTTTATGGGAGAATATCATTTGAAGATGTATTTGAATCGCTGCCAGCATAATTAGCCTATGTCGTTTCTGACGTGTTTTGACCGGAAGAGTAGAGTCCTCATAGGCCTAGTTAATAATGCGATGTACTTTTAGGTCATTAGTGAAAGTTATTAATACGAATTACTCACGCCTATCTCTGCTATTAAACTAAAATATGATACAGAGATTTTAATAGCGAGATTAATTATGCTGTTGAAGCCCATGGATACTTAATGGCGCATTTCCATAGAGGATTTACCCTAGTGTTTTACCCATAAGGCTCAGACTTTTCTTTTTCCGTCTACTCAGGCCTGCACCTGTGTCTCACTGGGCCATGGCTCCGGTGGACCTGCTCTCACTTGGGCCAAAGCCAGGCCACTGGTACTTTTCAGCTGGCATTTACAATTGCTAACTGTGAAATGTAACACCTTCTCACAAAGCAGCTGTTTTGATTATGCAGAGGTTGTTGATTCTGCTCTTTACAAGTATTTACAGTCAGCCCTAGCTATGGAAACAACATTTCACTAGTATAACATAAGGGTGTGTTGGTGAACACATAATTGGAGAGGAAGTACAAAACCAACGACGCTAGACAGAGAGGAATTTGCTTTAAGCAAAAGGCAGTTTATTAAAACAGAGATAGCTGGTACTGCTCAAGCTACATGCATGGGCCCAATGCATGGACCCAATCAATTGCCTCTTATGGAGACAGTTGAGAAGGATGGATAAACAGAGTTTACAGCATTATTTTATACAATGTAACATAAAGGAAGGGGTTCCTTCTTCTAGTCCCTTGATTGGTTCCCGAGGCGTAGGAGGCGGGTCTGCTCTGTCCAGAGTAGAAGCCCCATTGGTGCACGGCAGAGTCCTCTGCCCTTGGCACCCGACCAGTAGAAGGGGGGGGGTTTGAGAATGAGTGTGCGTCCACAGTGAGATGTCTGTGTGTGTCAAAGAACTCGTGAGGCATGAGAATGAGTGTGCGTGCAAATGAAATATTTGTGTGTGTCCAGGGAACTGGTGAGGAGGATCTGGTGATTGTGGCCTTGGGCGTGGGTGTTGTCCTGTTATTACACTCCTGACTAGGCCATCTGGTGACAAGATATGGCTGCTCTTCTACTGTCCTTTGTTCGACAACCAACACAACAGCCCACTGTTAATACCAGACACATGACAAATCCCCCTCTTCACGTTATAACATTTTATATTTACTACGACAAATTATATTTACTACGACAGGTGTATACACTAATGTAACACTGGTGTTACAGTTGAAATCAACAGAGGACTTCTGATGTGAAAGGCCGAGAATGGGTGACTCAAATAGCCTACAGTTAGGCAACGCGCATTAGCTGCCTGTCACTGTCAGGATAAAGATTCAATTAAGTAGATGGGCTGTCATCACAGAGAGTCATTGGCACATCTGGAGATATTGACAGGTCCTGCTTCTCTTTAAAATAAAGCCCGCTGTGCTGGGTCAATTTTGGCCGGCTGCGGTCGCACCGGGCCTGGCATAATGCTGAGACAAAGCCCCAAAGGCACCTACAACACCACCGCCGATCTGCACTGCACCAGCACCCGTCGTGATGTCCCGGTATTTTATGATGCACTGTCAGTAGCATCTGGAACCCCAACAATTTCATTAGCATAGAAGCTAACTATTAACAACTCGCAACTGGTGTCAACTCAACACCCACGCTATTCGAAAGTCAGTTTATTAAGCTTCCTTTTTGGTACTAACTCAAAGACAGGGATTCATTTGAACCATCTTTTCACACCTATCTTTCTTATCCCTCGAAGAATATCAAATGGATAGGTTGCTCCCGAGTGGCGCAGCGGTCTAAGGCACTGCATCTCAGTGCTTAAGGCGTCACTACAGACCCCCTGGTTCGATTCCAGGCTGTATCACAACCGGCCGTGATTGGGAGTCCCATAGGGCAGCGCACAATTGGCCCAGCGTCGTCCGGGTTTGGCCGGTGTAGGCCGTCATTGTAAATAACTGACTTGCCTAGTTAAATAAAGGTTAAATAAAAAATTAATACAAATCTGAAGATATTCAATAGGGAATGGGAATCAGATTATTGATCTATCAGATATGGTCAGCAATGATATCGTAATTAAGTAGTCATATGCACAAGTGAATGACCAGACATTAGTGATTTGTTGAACAGAGTATAGCCTTGGTTATTTGCAGAGTTGTAACAAGTATGAAAGAAAGCACAGTACACAATTTAAAGAAGCAAATCCATGAGACCAGTTTTTTTACAATCATACAAATATATTAGTTTTTATTCAATTATATCCAATAATATGCCTCCCTTGACTTGGTGTAAGTTATTATAGAAATGAATACAGATCATATTGCAAATGCAGAGAATACAATGGGTCAAGGAGGAATAGAGTTTTTATGGGGGAAAAGGAAGGACTCCTTGACTTTCTTTTTTGATGTGTCCAGTAAATGTTGGGCGCATGCATGCTTGTAGTACGGTCTGTCTGTGACTCTCTCTGCTGCCGTAGGCTATAGTGCTCAAAACAACCTTGGATAGATAGAACTTTATTGTCCAGACTCCCATGCCATTAATCCATGTTTATTATACTCCCATTGTTTTGTTACAAAAATAGTGTCATTGTGGCTTTTTAGTTAGCTGGAAGACTGAAGCACTGTTTTTGCATTGGAAGACGAGAAAAAAAGGTACATGGACATTTTCTTCAAATCCTTTTTTGGAAGACTTCATCATTATTTTCATCATCATCATCACAATAACTTGGATCATCCATGCAATACAAAACTCTAGGGGCTCCAATGTACAAAGCAGACCACTTTTATCGATCGCAAAATCACACACGTGGGTTATACAGTGTGTGTGTGTGTGTGTGTGAGAGAGAGATGGTGAGTGAGCAGTGTGCATGTGGCTGGAGAGCTAGTTAGATTCATCTCAAGGTTCATAGGTCAGAGGTCATCTAGTTTGATTGACATGTTTGTAACCGTGGTGAGGGATTCTGGGGCTCCGGAAGACATAGTAGCCAAAAGGTGAATATCCTTCCTTCTTTGCACTCTGTCACTCACTAATATTTTACTTTTCTGTTTGTCTTTTAGTTTGCATTTTTGGGTTGAGGTTCAGTGTTGGGTGGGTGGCGCATGTCAGAGTCTGATTCGAAACAAGTCATGAATGTGTATTCAAACATGAAAATAAACAGATTGAATAGAGAGACAAACAGTATATGGACGGACCAACTGTGACATATCCATTACAAAACTAAAATTCCATCGACAGAATCCCCAAAAAGAACATTCTTTACAACAGTCACAATAACCCCAACAACATACCCCCAATGACAATCAAATGACAATTATTCAATCGTGGTCTTCACCAACAAGATCCCACCTTTAAAAACTGTAATACATCTTCACTTCAGCATAGTCGACATACAGTCACTATGCAAAGCCACCATCATACCATAATAGGCCTGGGTTCAAATACTATTCTAAATCTTTCAAACACTTTCAGCGTTTGTTTGCCCTAGTCTTCCTGAAGTGCCCAATGGCCAGGGTTTGCACTCATGTCACTATTCTATTGGTTCCATTATGCCGGGCAAGCTCAATCAAGCCCAGATAAAGTATTTTAAATGATTTTAAATAGTATTTGAACCCAGGTCTGGTATACAGTACCTCTGGGCAGCTCCCCAGCTTAGCTCTTATTTTAAAGGTGACCTCTGCAATTTACATCTACGCCAGCCCAGCCCGACTCCATGCAGAAGTGCTGTGTGTGCATTGCAGATGTGCTTCAGGAGAGAACTATACCTTTAAAATGCAGCATTACTCTGAGGTCTAACAGGGTGGGGATTGGAGATAGCTACGGGCCAGTGGTATTTCCGCGTTAAACTCAGGGCTGTGTTGGGTCGGGGCTTTAAAAAATGAATATATATATCTGAGAACGGGGCCGTTGGTTCATTTTTTTTTTCAAAGCACGTGATCTTCTCTCGTTTTTTTGTCTATTTTCTACTGCATTGCAGATGTGGGGAGAAGGACTACACCCCAAAGTAACACACATAGACACATGTAACAGCAACCCCACTCACTCACAAACAAAACATTCGAAAAAAAAAAAATATCTGATAAAATAACACATTTTGCTTTATATTTGCTAAGTTGTTAAACACTCTCCTAGATAGATCCTCTGTGTTGCATCTTTTAATGAAGTTCATTGCTTTCTGCCCGAGGACTAGCGCTCATTGATTTGGCTTCTTATTGTATTCCTCTCCTCAGTCACTCACTCTTATGCTGTCAGGAGTGCACACAGAGTGAACAGACACATTTTCACACATAAAATACATGTACTGTAGACAGGCCATACACAGAGATAGACACAGACAGACAGATGCTATGCAGAGAAGATGCGCGCACACAAACACAGCCTCTGCCTTCAGGTTGAAGGGAAGTTGTGTTTGGGAGACGGATCAGAAGAGGAAGTGAAACTTCAAAGTGTGGCAGA